GGACAATAGAGTGGTAGCGATCGAGAGCGGCGGATGTTCTAATTTCTTTGTCAAACTGACGTAACTGAACTTTGAACGCCGTTAATTGTTCTTGCTTAGATATTTTATGAGAAAGTTAAAATATTTTCACAGGCATTTCTCCTACAGCATTTTACGTACAGCTAGAAAAATAGTAAGTAACTATAGTTCTTAGATATATAAAATACTGCGTTTGTACGATCTTGATTTCTATTGCTAATGAGGATATGTAAATAGAAAATAGTAAATATTAATTCAATTAAGCAAACCGCGGCGGCTTTGCGTCGAGTGCTAATACGAAAAGTAAAAGTCGGCTGAAGATTAATAAAGTGATTATTATTGTGGGGCCATAAAGTTAGTATTATACAGCGGCAGAGCTACCGGTATAATGTTTTAAGCTGACGCCTGATGACTCATGCACTGAACGCAAACTTACAAACGTTGGACTTTAATAAATACGATGCCGCGTGTGTGGGAGCAAATTCACGTAAAATGTGTATAAGGTGCGGTTTATTGTTTACTATACTACTAGTACGTAGTTTTTATAATAAATATCGAAACTTTTAACTAGGTATCTTAGAGCCACGGGCCATTGATCAGGACAATGAAAACTGCGCAAAAAACACTTAGTCACTTTACATTTACGGATGATTGCAATGGAATCAATATTTTTACTAACATTGTAACTAACGTGAAGTGCGTATTTTTCATTACACTTGAATTTCGATACGAACTCTCGACGACATAGTCAGTAATCCTTACCGACCACTGAGCTATATGGCGTCGGTGTAACCTCGACATCGGCGTCGATATCGCACTATATAAATATCAAACCGCGTGCAAACAAGCCGGGAACCAAAGTTCCATGCCGTCGCAAACACGTCCAAACACCGCACCAACTTCGCGCACAAATATTACGATATTGTGTAAAACCTCCACTCTGATAATATTAAGTGTCATCTATACAACAAATATTACTTTAATTCAAAACAAATGTTAATAAACTTTGAGTAAAATATTTTATGTTGAATTATTTTCTTCATTTGTAACATAGTTCCTATTTATGTAGAAACAAATAACCATTGAAATAGTTACTCATTCTCAAGCGTAGTTGTGGTGAAGTACAACAGCATACAATTTGTGTATAATTGTTGACTGAACTTTTTATGATCGGCAAAGTGCGCGCAGATCAAAGATCGCTCACAAATCGAAGCGCTCTCATTTTAGCACATCAATAAAATGTATCAAAAAACAAACAGCTTTGTTTGAGGTGTTCGCTCTTTGTGATGCGTCGATTTCTCTCTCTTAGTTTTATTTAGTGAAAAATGTATTTACAAACATGAATTTATATATTTTACTGTTTCTATTATCCGGACAATTAACATTATTTAAAAATAAAATACACTAAATTAGCAAACACTTGCTACGCAAATAATTATAAAAAATCTCGGACATTAAAATCCAATGCATTATAAAACGCATTATAAATATTTTGCAGGACAATTTCGCGGTGTCAAATAAAAATAAATAAAAAAACATCCCCCAGTCATTCGCAGTCTGCTCACCGAAGCCTTTCATTATTAAAAAGATGCACAGCCGTAGTGATGTACCACACACGCAGACAACACAAACATCGATGGAAATAAAATCTCATTTGATATTCAGTACAATTGGACAGCTGATACGTGGACAGTGGACTACAAGGGAAAATACTTTTACATTTATAAATTATTCCGGACATCGAGGATTCTTTTCGGACCTTGTATATTAAATGAGACTGTTTATTGTAGATTTCGTCTGTCTGCAGCGTAAAGTTTTAGTGTAGTTATTTTTATTTTACATTTTGAAATACGACTTGATTAAATGTATTTATTTTATTGAATGAATACTATCTATTGTTATGAGTAATATTTAACAATTTTACAAGAACTTAGACAAAGAAAAAAGTTACTAACTAGTTGTAAAAAGCAAGGACTTTACCATAAAAAAAAAACTTCGAAATGGTTTGAAATACATTTTGGTTAAAACACTTTCAGCTTTTTATAAAGATTTCCGAAACTAGCGGCCAGTTAGTATTATTGTCAAATCATGGTTATTGCAACATTATAATGGAATGCTATATTTGCCAATAAATAAAAAGTATTTTTAGCAG